TATGTTTCTAGATTGCCAAGCATCTAAGGAGAAACAGCTCTGTGCTACTCCTCACATCGAGTCCTTGCTCACGCTCAGAGAAGACACATTTCCAGAGCCAGCGGGGGTTCTAACTTCCACCCAGCTCCCTGCAGCTGTGGGCCGATGCACTGGCAGAAGAACAACAGCTTTGCCTCCCTCATGGCTGCCAGGAGGTCAAGTGGATTCACAGAACGAGCTAAACCAAGGTCAGCAGGGCGTGCAGAGCTAGGACCGTGCTGCCAAGGTGGCACCCGAGGCAGACCTGTTCCCAGGGGAGGTGCTTTGCAATGCAGCCTAGGTCAAACAGTTTAAATGCTGTGAATTTGCACTGGTTTCTCTCAGGCCTGCAAAACCTTCTTGATGCTTCTCGCATAGGCTAATCGCACCCCAACGCTGAATCCAGACAGGGAAAATGGCTGGTGCATACCTACAGCAGCGATGCCATCTGTCTCTGGGGAAGAGGGGAGTCCGGGTGCATGCAGAATTGCCATGTGCACGCTGCCAAAGTCACATGAAGGTTGCAAGAGCTGGTATTTCAGTGTACCTGGCAAATGCACAAAACTCTAAAAGCCTGAAATCTGATCTGCACATGATGGAGAAGTCAATACCCCTCCCTCCGCAGAGACCTTTGTGAGTTAGAATATAGGCTGGCTGAGTGCTGGAGTACTTCAGAGTGCAACTGTGACAAAACACCAAGCTGGGGGAAGGTACGGGGGATACAATGGCATTATTCTACATTTTGTCTGCGCAGGCATTACAGCAGAAGTCCTTGACAATATTATCAGATGCTACAGACAATTTTCTATTAATCAGGAAAAGCAAAGCACAAAATAAACAGCATGTGTCCCGACCTTTTAGCTGACAAATCATTCATCTATTTTAAATCTACAAGTAAATTTAGTACTCCTGATACAGAACAGCTGAAGGTACATATTTAAACCAGACACATACACTGCAGCTTTTCCACATGCACAGCTCTGCCACAGGAACATCAACTCCAGCCAGCAGTACCCTTCTGCTCCTGCCTGGACAGATGCTAAGGTTCTACACTGGTGTGCTCAATGTAAATGGTTAGTAAAGGGAAAAGAACATTGACTATAGACTGGAAATGAACGGCAACCTTCAGATGCAGAACTCCATACCAACTGTCCGATATTCAGGAGGAGCTAGGTCCATAATGTTTGGGTTGGGGGGGGGGAGGGTCAGGTCATCTGTGATTATTTTATTGCCCCTTGTCTTCACAGGGAAAGTCAGAAAAATTAATCCAAATTAATGACAAGTGACTTGAAAGCAGTTAGTGAAGTTAAACTGGAGTCCTGCATGAGTGCTGTTACTCAGAATTAAAGTGGCCTTCATTTGATTTAGCTTTCTTCAGTTTCAGAGTGAAGTACACTAAATCAGATTAATACCACTTAATTCTGAATATGAATATCTACATAGGGTTTAATAGAATATAACTAATCTACTTTAAAAGATAATTCAGGTAAGGCTTCCTGAGTGTCCCCTTCGAGGAAAGACTCACATCAATAGACTTAGGGGGAATTGTTCCTGGATTGTGCTGGCAGGAGGTCAAAACATCAACACTATCATAAAAATAGCATCATCTTGCTTGGATGTCTTTGTTCTCAGAGCATTAACATCTGATCCAGAGCTGAACGTATACCTGGTAAGATGGAATCACAAACTGCAGCATCAAGTGAATTCTCAGTTACCAAAGAGGCAGAAAACACCGAAGAGAATTTGGTTTCTGCAGCAGAGATGTAGAACTGGCATGGATGGACCCACGTGGCGTTTCCCACGTTCTGAAGGTGTAAACACCATGCATTGTTTTTGTAAGGCTGCTGTGCATATCTAGACAGTGCGATTTCAAACCTGAATGTTGCTAGAACCTTTATTTACATGAACATCACTAAGGTGTAAGGAACTGCAGTCCCTGTGACAGTAATTAGTAACCTTTAACTGAGCAGTAGCATCATTATGGCCCATATCCGCATATCATAGAATAAAGCCAAATGTCTATGCCAGCCAGTCCACCATTTTGGAATAAAACAGGGGCAAGGTCTTCTTTTAAATGGGGCAAGTCAGACACTGAGCTTTGCTGAGGAGACTAGGCTTCATGAGAACACAAAGGTGCAGTTACACCCCAGAGCAAATGAGCACAGCTTTGAAAGCAAACGCAGGACTGATGTGCTTCCATGTTACAGAACTGCCTCTGACAGAGCACTCAGTGCTTGTCCATCCACACAATGTAATCGCAGCCAAGATTCAACCCTTCTCTCCCTACAACCAAACACACCCCAGTGACAGCTCTGTCCTGCCCATTTCTCAAACAGATTTGGACCCAGCCTCCAAAGCCAAAAGTCCTCAGTGCCTCCACAACTGAATTCTTGTTCTGGACTTCGCGTTCTCCTTCTCTCCAGTAACATTAACTGTACACCACTTTAGGATGAAGACCTCAGCACACAGCCATATTAAACAACATCTCACTGTGCTAATTGCTCAGGTGGCTAAACAGGGATTCTGTGCTCCTTAGACTACCCACAATAGACAATGAAAAGGGACAGGCACCTCCAAAGGGCAGTTCCAAACAGGACTCTCAGTGACTGAAGAGCAGAGTAGCCTCTCAGCTCAGACGTCCAAGGTAGATGTCTAATGCAAGGCACTGAGAATACTCCGCTCAGCTTCACTTTGTAATTTTAGTGACCTGGTGCATAGTCCAGCCTCCAAACCTGACCCTTCTGCTCAGCTTCCACAGCCATCTAATATTGCTGCCTACTGCAAGGAGCATCACCCTGTGCTGGGCAGCCTCTGGCTCCGTATGACCTTGGGTTTTTTCATATATAGGAGCTGTTCCCTGGTGTTCAATAGCGAGTTATATCTTGTTCACAGTATCATTAAATCTTTTAATTAAATGTTGCTCAGTAATCTATCCGACCAGAATCCCCAAGTCAAAATTTCAAGTGCTGATAGATAATGTAATCTATTTTTCACATTAATCCAGTGAGATATATTAAGGAATCTGATACGTACATGCACAGTCTGCTCTGGGGAAAAAGTAAACTAAACATAGTCTTACCTGCAGCTTTTAGAACATCAAATCCAGATTCCAGACAGTATTAAAACCTTCCAGATTTGAGTGAGACTCACCAGTCTTTGCTGCCTTCCACTGCATTTAGACAGAGAATTAATCTTGATATTCAAAGCCTTCCAAAACCTGCATGTTATAAAAATAGCAAAATGTATTTCTTTTGAAGTATGGGCTTGTTACAGCTATTTAGGAACCTCTTACTGAACTCAGATAGATCTTGAACCTCCCCTGGGGATGGTTTAGATGTCGGTGTTCATTCATTAACAGATTGGAAACTGTCCAGGACAATATTGCAAGAAAACACATGATGTCCAGGCTTTCTTTCTGCTTCTTCCTTTCTTAAACAGGGCTTTCTGTGCAGTTTACAAATAAATCGAAGGTTAAATATGATGAGCAGGGCAAGGAACACAGGGAAATTCAAGCCGGTGTTAGCAATGCATAATGCTTATTGGTCAACAGGGTATTTCTCTCTAGTGGCAAGGGGAGCATATAGCAAAAACTTCACTCAGGCAGCGAGAATCTCATCCTGCCCCAATTCCATCACATATTCCCGTTCCTCATCACTAACAGTAAGTGTGCAAAGGCCTTACTCTTCATCAGCTCAAGGACACATGCTGAGTGTCTAACCGTAATGCCGTCCAGACACAGGGTTCAGGCAAAAGCTTATGGCCCCGGCAGGTTCCGTGTTGCCTTTCATTGGATATTCTTTTGTGTAAGAAACAAACAAGCTCTCGTCCAGGAGCAGGCAGCTGAAGCACGAACAACCACCCTAACAAAGAAGGCAGAAGGGCAAACCTGGAGGAGAAGCTAACGCATTTAGGGTTTTTCCCAGCTGAAATGTTGGGCTTTGAAGACGCAGTGAGGGCAGTGCTTGGAACAGCTGTGTGCTCCTACAGTCTGCCAGGAGCAGCCTTCTCTCAAAACCAGGCAGAAACAGATAAACTCTACACGAATGACCTTGAGAAAAAAAGCCTGTGTTTCTGGATAAAGTGCTGGCTGAAAGGATTGAAATTGCATGCAGACAAGTATCTCCTATTGTCTGATGCCTCTTCTGTTCAACAAAACAGAATTTTGTACTTTTTTTGTAAATAAAAAGGCTGCATCAAAGTACCTGAGTGATCAATTTTGCCTGCTATTAGAAACAATCCACTGGGCGTAAAACCATCTAAGTGCTTTGGTCAAAGACAGCGAATAACTGCTCTATTTGTTTCCTCGTGGAAAGGCAACAACTTCATCCCT